CAGTCAGAGCTGGTCATTAATGTCTCTATTTTACATGATCATGATGAGTTTAGTGCACTGAACTTTTTCTAGCTTGCCAGGTCGTGTTTAGAAGTTACCCAGTAAACTACAACAGGAGGGGCCTGGTCAGAGAGTGCCTGACCTAATGGGATCAGGAGAGTAAAAAAAGCCTTCCAGAACATGAAAATGTGTTCTAAATCGTATTACTGATGTATGCCACCAATATAAAGATCAGGGACAGGAGCATGTACATTTATCTGCTGCTCACCATGAGAACTTCGAAGGGGCAAAGGGTAACATAAGGACAAACTTTTTTTCCCACATAAGGACAAACTTTGTGAGTGTGAGGGTTATGGAGCATGGCCCAGGCTGCCCAGAGAGGTTGTGGAGTGTCCTTGTGTGGAGACACCCAAAGCCCTGGCCGTGTTCCTGTGTGACTGCTCTGGTGATCCTGCTGTGGCAGGGGTTGCACTGGATCAGCTTTGCAGGGCCCTTCCAGCTCCTCACATTCTGTCATTCTGTAACCAGTAATGCCAAACTGCTCCTTTCTAACAAAAATAGAAGGTAAATACTGTTTGAAGATAGGCCTTGGTGGCCCTCCATGAAACATGTAAGAGCCTTAACATCAGATTACAGGACATACAAAGTGTATCTTACTGTTTCTTCACCAAATAAAAGGCAAATGGACTGCATTGTGGTTGCTCACGGGTCTGAGGTTCCTCAGAAGGCCATTTTTGGTCTACTCATCTGCCCTACAGGTGGCCATCAGAACTGTGTTTTCGTCATTAACCATAACAGATGGCCCTTGATACCTCCCTGCTGATAACAGGCTGCTTTAATCCCAAGGGCTCCAAATCAGACCCAGGACACGCTGAGAGCAGCCACCTCCTGCGCTGTGGCACTGGCCTGACCCTGCGTGTACCCAGGAGGTGACAGCGTCCATTGGCTCTGAAGAGCGCTGCACCCTGAACCCATCTGTGACGCCAGGGCTCAGCACATCAAGATCCAGCCCTGCAGCTCCGCGTGGCAGCTCGTTGTTCACACCATTACAAACACAGCCAGCACGTCTGCACGTCTGAACCTGGTGGGTTTATTAGCACCGCCGAGAAGTTGTGGTGACAGGTAATTACACTTAGCATCAACCACAGGTACACAGGAATGAAATGACTAAAAATCAGTGCGCCGTGAGGCACAGCTTAAAACTCTGAAGCAGAAAAGAAAACAACCTAAATTTGAGATAATCTCAATCCCCTCTTTGAAAATGTTTCGGCCCCTAGCATTTGAAGGGCAGGTATTAAGTAACTTGCTTTTAATTCGGAAGGTAATAGGTTTGCAGCCTGAGCTTGTTTTCTATGAGAATGATGAATGACAAAGTGCTTTTTAATTAAAGACCAAATAACTCAACTATGCAATCTGCGTAACGATACAACCAGTAAGCTTTGTATCTCCATCCTCCCCAAACAACAAAGTCCCTTTTCTGTGACTTCTATGGACTGTAACCCAGAGCTAATGACATGGGTAGAAATGTGCATGCCTTCGTGAGCCGAGGTTCCTAATGCACTATTTACATGCGTTTTCCTTTCAGCTTTCATCTGCCACTTTGATGAATTACCCAGCAAAAGGCTCTAAGGTGAAGTAGCTGCTCCACCATCATGCTTGGAAAAGCAAGATGAAGTGCTAATGAGGTTAAAGGAAATGCAGTCAGCACCGATGTTAACTCACATGGGCTGGAATACCCACATAGCAAGACATTTCACCTAAACAATCTCTGCTGGTTTCTGGCCTACTGAGCTACAACTTATTTGTTTCTTTTAAAAGTCTGCCAGAGAATCCATCACTTTTTAGGAAACAAGGGCAAGAATGAGAGGAGCTGAAGAAGCTTGGGTAGAGGGGGGTGAGGGAGGGGATGTCAACATTTGCTAGAAAAACATCGATGCTCCCCCTAAAACATCTGTCCCAGATCTTGTTTGAAAACTGTTCCTTCTGGGGGAAAAAAAAAATCTTCAGACTGAAACATTCAGGTAGTGCCCAGCTGCTTCTTGAAAGGCGCGTGGGGCTGAGCCCATGCAGCTGCTCCAGGCAACTCCCATTCACTCACCTCACTCGCACCTGAAAATCGTCAGAGGAATTCACCGCCAACAGCCACAACGCTCTCCCACCAGCTATTTATAATGCTTTGACAATATTGAAAGCAAGGGGGGGCGAAAAAGCTATTGGCTGTAATATCATCTCATTGGGAGGCAGCGGTTGCACCAGAAATGTCATCTACTTAAGCAATAATAATGGAGGCACAAGGCAGTTCTTTGGGATTGATGACCAGCTGGGAAAAGTTGATGGCCTGAGGATAACCAGGGGCCATTAAGCCAGAAGAACATTAACTCTGCAGAACGCTCTGTGTTACAGTAATTATTACAGTGATATTTGTTAAAAAAAAGAAAAAGGCAAGCCAAAAAGAAAAGCCAACTCATGAGATACGAGTTATATCTGAGCTAGGCGATGCAACCCTTGCTTCAAAATGCCCAGAAAAGGGCTAAGCATGAAAGGTAGGTGGGTTTTATGGGCTGTATTAATTACCTTGAAACGTAACGTGTCGTGCATGTAAGAGCTGCTGACATTCAATGGTTCTCCTTGTCAATAAGCAGCCAGTTTCCCATGTACCTGAACTACCTGTACAGCACCTTGCACAACACGGCAGAGCATGGGCCTACTGCTACAGCACACAGCAGGCACATCAGCAGTGAACTCAATAAACTGCCCAAATCACCTCTCAGTTCCAGTCACCTAAAAATACAGATGGGGAGAGGGAGAAAAGCTGTTACAAGACAGCAAGCTCATAAAACCCTGGAAGATGGCAAAATGAACTGGTGATTTTCTGGGATATTCAGGCTATCCCAAGGGAACGAAGGGAGCAGGTGACCCTTGCTAGGTTCTGCTGAGCCCCATATAACAGGGCAACCTTGCACTGGTGTAAGTGTCAGGGACCAAACTGAGTCCTGGCAACTTTCTCTGCTATAGATTCCAGCCCGGTAAGCAGAGCTGCTGCATCATCCACATCTGATGTGTTTAACAGCAACCAACAGGCAAACAGAAACAGAAAACAATGCCACAGCCCTTCCTGTACTTTCCAATTTGAGGCAATCTGCTCTGTTATTGACTTGAAAATCTATGTTGTCCAATGAGAGAAAAATGTTTTCAAACACTTTATTGCTCAAAAACAAAATCAATGGAAAAATGTTATCCCTCATTCAAAATATGTTCCTCTTAGATATAATTATTTTCTTTGTGATGAAATCAAACAATCAATTCTAATTTATTTTTTTTTTGCTTGTAGAATCCTTTTGATTTTAAAGCCAAAATTTAGAAAACAAGACAATTCCCTCCAGTAAAATCAGGAACACCGGAAAACAAACATTTCTCTTATACTTTCTTCTATTTCTTTTTAAGACCCCTGGGTTCAGATCACTCCATTATCAGTAGTATAAAAGTTTCCCTTCTATAAATAATAGTAAAAAAAAGAGAGTATTTTATCTTGGCCACGATGACCTGGTCAACAAAGAAAAGGAAAAAAAGTTTGTGTGGAGCGAAGAGCAGCTCATTACTGAGTTTGGCAGAACAAGACCACTTGTCAGTTCATGAACACCAGCATTCCTCAGATACATCTCGAAATATTAGATAACTTCAAAGTATATGGGGAGAGAGCAAAAGAGACTGAGAAAGGTTAAAGAATAACCAAATTCCTCCTGGATGAATGACCTTTAACTAAGCATTTGAGACGGAAAGTGCAAAATATGAATACTGCACTTGACAGCTCTGTTTTTCTCTTGCAGCACCTCTACAGCACTTTGGTTTGTCTGCTGTCTGATCTGGAATGAAAAGCTATGGGGCTTCTTCACTCCGTGTGAACTACCTGAACCATTTGACTGAACCAGCAACCTCCTCTGCAAGAGCTCCCAAACAGCCACTGAAGTTAAAGCAGTGGTAGAATTAAGAAGACTGGTGTTCAGGAAAGCAAAACTGTTTCCATTTTCAATTGCATTAATTCAGTAAAGGGCTGTATGAATGGTTGAAAAAGCACAGATAAACACTACAAGCAACAGTCTTACTGGTTCAGGAGAAAGTGAGCTTATTCCAGACCAGTCTAGCTTGCTCTTTTTGTTATAAAGCAGATTTTGTCATAAATCAAATTTCATTGCTAGGAGTTTTATGTCTCCCCTACCCAGTGCCCACTGTGCCTGACCTGAGCCCAGCAGCAAGCTGGTGACAGTGTATGTTACCTCAGTATTTACTTTTTATGGTCCCTGCCTTGTGCACAGAACTTCAGCAGCACTTCATACGTAATGTTAATGAACCCTATGTTCAATGAAATTTATTACTTATGGCTTGTTCTCGACTGCTGGGTCATCAGGCA